GATTGGAAAACTTTTATTATTTGTTTGATTTTGAATTTGGATTTGAATTGGTTTCGAATTAACGCGAGATTAGTAACTGTAATGGAGTTGACGTGGCATCATTAGTAGAGGGTTACTATAGCTTGATTATCCGGGCGTCACAATCGTATCACACTTGATAATCATGTTTACATTGAATTTCATCCTTTTTTCTTCTTGATCAAGGATCAGGTCACGAGGAGAACTCTCTATCGAGGTAGATGTGTTCGAGGTCTTTACCCGTTGATTCCGGAGCTTCAACAACACAATAAACAAGCTTGTGGTGCTATCAAGCTTTCGGCCACACGATGGCACGACCGTTTAGGGCATGCTTCATTTTCCTTAGTTGATCGTTTACTCAAAAAGAATAAACTCCCGTTTGTTGGGGACCGAAATGTTAAAACCATTTGTGATTCTTGTCAGAGAGCAAAAAGTCATCAACTTCCATATCCTGTTTCCACTAGTGTCTCTACTCAACCATTGCAATTATTATTTTCTGATGTATGGGGTCCTGCCCCAAGTTCTGTTGGTAGACACACATACTATGTCAGTTTCATTGATGACTACAGCAAGTTCTCTTGGCTCTACCTTCTTAAAAAAAGGTCCGAAGTTTTTCAAGTCTTTAAAAACTTCCAAGCTCTTGTTGAATGGCAATTTGATAGGAAGATTCTTGTTGTCCAATCCGACTGGGGTGGGGAGTACGAAAAACTCAACTCCTTCTTCCAAACACTAGGAATTTCTCATCATGTGTCATGCCCTCACGCTCATCAACAGAATGGGTCTGCAGAACGTAAGCATAGGCACATTGTTGAAGTTGGCCTTGCTCTTTTGGCCGGAGCTTCTATGCCCTTAAAATTTTGGGACGAAGCATTCCTCACGGCCGTACACATCATAAACATGCTCCCTAGTAGGGTTATCAACAACGAAACTCCCATAGAATGACTCCTTCGTGTAAAACCAGACTATAAATCACTTCGTGTGTTTGGATGCGCATGTTGGCCAAATCTCCGCCCTTACAACAACCGCAAACTTATGTTTCGCTCCAAACAGTGTGCGTTCCTTGGGTATAGCGCTCAGCACAAAGGTGTCAAATGCTTAGACATCTCGTCTGGTCGAGTCTACATCTCTAGAGATGTTGTTTTTGATGAGATAAAATTCCCCTTTGCTGATCTTCACCCCAACGCCGGCGCCTTACTCCGTCAAGAAATCCTACTCCTTCCACCTCACCTCTCCGGTTATGATCAAGGGGGCCACGAAAACTGTGATGATCATTTGCTGACTAATCCTCCTAACCATTTGCATGAGGCTTGTGATGTTCCAGGAGATCATAGCGGCGAAAATGGTGAAGAAAATGAAGAAAACAGTGCAACACACTGTCCATATCGTGTGTGTCACGGCAGAGGGAGCAGATCCGCCTCGGGATCCGGCGTGCCAGGTGCGGCGGGTGAATCTGCCTCGGGATCCGGCGCGTCAGCTGCAGCAGGCGAATCCGCCTCGGGATCCGGCGCGTCAGCAGCGGCGGGCGGACCCGCCTCGGATCCAGCCGCGAGCAACTCCGCGTTGGCCACGCGGCCTGCTGTGGCTGGTGGTGGCGGCTTCCCCAGCCCGCACCAATCAGCGGCTGCCATGCGCCAGGCTCCCACGGGCCCGATCGGCTCGCGGTTTGGCACCCAGCCGGCTGTGTACAAGCGGCGCGAGGCAGGGCGATCGGCTGGTGCGGGCCCAGCTGCGGCAAGCGCTGGCGCGGGATCAGATGCCTGCCTCGATCAGACCGTGGTCGCTGGTCAGGCGGGATCTTCTGCACCGGTTTCCTCCTCAACGCCCCAGTCGCGAGCCACAGAAGATCATCCAGGAGCAGAACCAGCAGAGACTGCTGGTGCAGGCGGATCCGCCTCGGATCTGGCGCAGGTGGATTCATCTGCCGGATCTTCTGTGGCGCAAAACAGCACTGGTGCACCACAACGTCGCACACGGCTGCAGTCAGGGGTAACTAAGCCTGTTAATTATAAACACATAACAAAATATGGTTTGATCTGCTCCACAGGTGAACCAGGTGAGCCCAATATGCTTGAGGAGGCCCTTGGCGATGAGAAGTGGAGAAAGGCAATGCGTGAGGAATATGTGGCACTACAGAAAAATAAAACGTGGCATTTAGTCCCTCCAAGGCAAGGTAAAAATCTCATTGATTGCAAATGGGTTTTTAGAATCAAACGCAAGTCTGATGGAACAGTTGATCGTTACAAGGCAAGGCTAGTTGCTAAGGGTTTTAAACAAAGATATGGCATAGACTATGAGGACACATTTAGTCCGGTGGTAAAAGCTGCAACTATTCGTCTTGTCCTATCTATTGCTGTTTCCAGGGGATGGAGTCATCGACAGTTAGATGTACAGAACGCGTTTCTTCATGGTGTTCTGGAAGAGGAGGTTTACATGAAACAACCTCCTGGGTTTGAAAACAAACATGCACCCTCTTATGTATGCAAGCTTGATAAAGCACTGTATGGACTGAAGCAGGCCCCTAGAGCATGGTATTCTCGTCTCAGCAAGAAAATGCAAATGCTTGGATTTGTTCCTTCAAAGTCTGACACTTCATTGTTTATTTACAATAAGGCCAATACATCAATATTTGTTCTTATATATGTTGATGATATTATTGTCACAAGCTCCTCTGATGAGGCAATAACAGGACTGTTGAAGGACTTAGGTGCTGAGTTTGCTCTGAAGGATCTTGGGGACCTGCACTATTTCCTAGGGATTGAAGTGAAGAAGCGCAAAGATGGACTTCATCTCTCCCAGGAAAAATATGCAAATGATTTGGTAAGAAAAGCTGGGTTGCAAGGCTGTAAACCTACCACCACTCCTTTGTCTAGTACAGAAAAATTGTCTCTCACAAAAGGAACACCCTTGAGCTCAGAAGATAGCACAAGATACAGAAGTCTGGTGGGTGCACTTCAATATTTAACTCTCACTCGACCTGATATTTCTTTTGCTGTTAACAAGGTGTGTCAATTCCTTCATGCACCAACCACAGTTCATTTGACTGCTGCAAAACGGATAGTAAGATATGTGAAAGATACTATGGGCATTGGCCTCAATTTTAGCAAGTCATCTTCCACTCTTGTTAGTGCATTCTCTGACTCAGATTGGGCAGGATGTTTGGATGATAGACGCTCCACTGGTGGTTTTGCAGTATTTCTTGGATCAAATCTGATCTCTTGGTGTGCCAGAAAACAAGCTACTGTTTCAAGGTCCAGCACAGAAGCAGAGTATAAGGCACTAGCCAATGCTACTGCAGAAATTATATGGGTACAATCCATTCTTAAGGAACTTGGTGTAAAAATCACTCAAGCTCCATGTCTGTGGTGTGACAATTTGGGTGCAACTTATCTTTCAGCAAATCCAGTTTTTCATGCAAGAACGAAACATATTGAGATAGATTTCCATTTTGTCAGAGAAAGAGTTGCTAGTAAACTTCTAGACATTCGGTTTATACACTCTCAAGACCAGGTTGCAGATGGGTTTACTAAAGCCTTGCCCATACGAAGCTTTGAGAACTTCAAGTATAATCTCAACTTGATGAAGTTGTGATTAAGGGAGGGTGTCAAACAACATTCTTGTGTACGTGACAAGGGGCTGCGCACTGATCAATATCTTGGTAGTTCGGCTAGGTGGTTAGCTAGAGTTTATCTCCTCTCTGTAATCTTATCTCTACTTAGCTTCTTCTCCAAGATGTAATCTAAACTGTATGCGCTATCAGGGAGGTGCGCCCCTGCCTATAAACACATATGGCGTCCCCTCCGATCGAGGTAAGACGCTTTCCGCCATCGCACAATGACAAGGGGGCATGGAAAGTTTAATCCCACCCTGGTAGTGAAGGATGTATTGTACCAACATATAAGGTTGGCTCTTCCACACACTACTAAAATTTTGAAGAGATGGCACACACACACACTCCTCCATTGCCCGTGTTTCGTGAGCGAGCCAAGTCAGGCTACAACATATGACACGGCTACTTCCCTGACATCGCCGACCACCTCCACAACATGTCGATCCCTTCTTTCAGGGATTGTTCGCAATTGATTTTTTTTACAAAGTATAAAAACGACGTCTTGGCAACAGTAAAGCCATATGAGACCAAAACTATGAAGAGGTAAGACCGATCAACCTTTCCAGCCACCCCTCTAATCGCATACACTGATACACATCACCTCGAACAGCGGTCGATACTCTGTTCGGTTGTTAGCAATTGATCAACAAAGGACCAGGTGTCGGGCCGTGGTAGGGTAGTCCTTGCATTGAATAGGTGGAGTGCAGTCTCAGGGGCCGCAGGCAGAGCTGGGGTTGCATCACAAACCAGCTTTGCGCCTACATGATACACACATAATACAACATTGTTCATCCAGCGATTTCGGGTAAACACTCCTCTTATCAACATCATCAGAAAACTCCAACATACTGTATTTTGTTAGACAACACACGCTACACTATCAGCAGCAACACCAATTTCAGACTCAAGAGTAGCCTGAATACAATCCTCTCGATGTACATTTCTACACTCTTCTTCTGAACACAAAACGGCACTCAATCTGGTTCGTGTTCAAGAAGCAAACAAGGTGGAAGACCACAAACACCGCTTCTGCATGCACATACAGATATTCACAGGTTCACTACATGGCGTATACTATCTCCCCGCTGCTGTCCATGTCGATGTCGAGGTCCGAGTCCAGGTCATCCATGTCGTCGTCGAGGTCAAGGCCGTCAGGCAGGAACTTGTTGATTCCGAGGGCGCCGGCCGCCGGTATGGTCGCCTCTGCCATTATCTGCATGATCTCGTTCATGTTCTGCATCGGCTGGTCAGGCTCCTCATACTGGTTGCTCACTGTGGGACCGTCCATGAGGTCGGCTGGGAGGTTCTTGAGGAACCATGGGTGGTTCTTTATCTCAGGTATGGTGATCCTCTGCAAGCTCAAATGGCACAGGCGTTATCCTGAGGGCCGAACAAGCGAAACCGTGCGCGTGTCGATGGAGTGAGTACTCACCGTAGCTGGGTTGGCAACAAAGATCCTTGAGAGAAGGTTTCGGCAGTCCATTGGTATGTGAATGTAGTCCGGAATCGAGTACTGAACACCTAATATTTTCTGAAAAAGTTGAGCTCGGTATTTAGATGTTTGGCTATAACTGCAACTTGTGGAATTGCTAAGCTGAACGGCTGGCGGCATACCTGGATTGTCATTTTGAAATTCTTGGGATTTTCCGGATCCTCGAAAGGGTAGGCGCCGACCAACATCACGTAAAGCGTTACGCCACATGACCACACATCGGCAATCTCCATTCAGAGATAAATTATTAGTGCTTGAGCAAAAAACATGAAATACTTTAGATGTTTTTTTAGAGAGAAGTACTTTAAATGGTTGCTCCTCAATACCATGCACCACTCATGCCAACGAAAGGTGGATGGAATATTCATAAAGCAAGTAAAGCTTTTATGGCCGAGCAAAATGATTCAAATTAGGCAGCAGATGGTGGCAGAGTATGCATGAGACGGTTTAAACTTGAAAGCGCCAAGGTGGATGCATACCTTGCCATCGTATTCCTTCTTGAGCAGAACTTCAGGGGCAATATATGCCGGGGTTCCCACAGTTGACTTTGGTTGAGAATGTAGCACCGATGACTGTAAATTAGAGAAAAACAGGAGTGCAGATCACTTAAAAATCTGGCAATGGCATCCAGCACAAGTTTCATGGCGTAAGATGGTTCACATAAGGAAGCACTCAGGCGCCGCTCCACCAGATTAATACTAGCACAGAATACCTTGGAATAACCAAAGTCGCATATCTTGAGGCGAGGGGTGGTGCTTCCATCCAGCAGAGTGTTCTCGAGCTTTAAGTCACGATGGCATACTTGCTTGACGAATAGAACAAATTCATGTTGTCAGTTGCATAGGAAACTACATGGAAAGGTAAAATCATGTGGTAGGATAATTCGGGAAACAGATTGATACCATGGAATGGCAGTAGCTAACTCCAGATATCAGCTGCTGGAAAAAGAAGCGAGCCTGAACATACACATCAACTGATGAGTTAACCAACACGACAATTGTACCATCATACAAATCTTGATACAGAGGACTATACGGCAGAACTGTGAGTGAAGAGATATACCTCGTCGACGCTGAACCGACCGGCGGTGCAGATGCGGTCGAAGAGCTCCCCGCCGGAGGCGTACTCCATGACGATGGCGAGATGCGTCGGCGTCAGAATAACCTGAAGAACCGCAAACAAAAGGCAAGGCAGAACTCGTTCTTTGCATCATTCCACGACATAACCATCGAAGACGGCGATACTGCAAGCAAAGCGATCGTGTCTTCATTCGTAGTAATTTTCACTCACCTCCTTGAAGCGGATGATGTTGGGGTGCCGCAGCGACCTGTGGTTGATGATCTCCCTCTGCACGTTCTCATCGATCTGCGCGCACGCGCACACGCACGCATCATCAAACTTGTAAATACCAAAGACCGTGGCTCTGGTCTGGTGCCAAGTGTGCGCGTGGGAAACCGGGAATGAATAAACAATCGAAGTGTGGTGGCGCGGCTGGCGGTACCTTCTCGCCGCGGTCGATGTACTTGACGGCGACGAGCTCGCCGGAGGCGCGGTTGCGCATGAGGCGGGCGACGCCGAAGTTGCCGGACCCGATGCTGCGGACCAGCTCGTACCGGTCGCCGTCCAGCATCACCGGCACATCACTCAGCGTCCCCGCCGGCCCCCTCTCCATCGCCCCCGCGCCGACGACTTCACCGCCGACCAAGACACGGAGATCCCCGCGCGCGCCCTCTCTCCTTATCTCTCTCGCTCGCGCGCTCGCTGCCGAACCTTTCTTCCTAACTCTCTGGCCGCGCGCTTTTCTTCTTAATTCTTATTGCCGCCACTGTCTACGAGTACAAGAAGAGAGGGGGATGACGTCATGGGGCGTGCTTATCCGAGGCTCACCTTTTTTTCCCTTTTACATTCTATCATAGGCTCACCTGACTGGGGGACCCACCTATATCATTGAAGCGGTCCAGGAAATCCACTCGCGGCTTTGAATCGGCAAGGTAACTGGAGCGCGGGCCCGGACGCGGGCTGTCATGGTGGGGCACAAGCGTCGGTATCACGTGTCTGTAGCGTGTGGAGAAGAAGATGGTGGGGAAAGGCGGGAAAGTATCTCGAGCTGGAACCGGGGATCAAATTACTGGTACTCCCTCCCTTCCGGATTACTTGTCGCAGGTATGGATGTATCTAGATGTATTTTAGTTCTAGATACATCCATTTCAACGACGAGTAATTTGGAACGGAGGGAGTACCTTTTAATATATTTTTTTGCGAAATAAACTACCGGCACCTACGTCTCACGCATCAGGTTTTTCGTGGTGCGTCGCGTAATGTTTTTTCTTCATCATCATAAATATCAAAGGTGATTTGCTTTTTTCTAGTAAAAGGATTATCAGTAAAGGACGCAAAAATGACTAAAAGCTGATTTTTGCTACTAGTATCATGTATTATCAATGTATAGGTAATCGAGCAACTATCTTCTTCTTAGTTAATGAAAGGAAAAGCTTTTGCCTTCATTTCAAAAAAAAAAAACAATTGTTACATCCATTTCCTAGCATCGTACTTCCCTGGTAGAGCGAGATTGCAGTGTTTAGCACGGAGGCAAGGGAGACGAGGGTTGACTGTTAACATCTAGTGCACCACAGCACCAGCGTAGAGGGAGTACCCAACACTACGCACTGCACTGTAAACATCGCAACCTCTGCAGCTTTACAGTACGAGCAACATGCAACCACTCCCTCCGTCCCATAATGTAGCTTTTTGAAGCTACTGTAGTGTCAAAAAAGGTCATCTATTACGGGAGGGAGGCGGTACCAACCAATCATGTCTTTTCCATATAGGGTTAATAGGGTAGAACCACAGTACCACACAGTATATGGCTGCACGGTTCCATGGAAAATGGATTAGAGCCAGACGGCTACTGCTCATCTAACCTGGCCTTCTAAGCAGCAAAGATAAGACTTTTTTTTCTAGAGAAAGCAAAGCTCCAGAGCCGAAAGTCCCATTCTGCTTAAATGGGCTCCAGAGACAAAAGTCCTATTCTGATCCCAAGCTCAAATGGGCTCCAGAGACCAGAGAGATATGCTAGAGCTAGACTTGTACTCCCTCCGTTCCTAAATATAAGTATTTTTAGAGATTCCAATATGAACTACATACGGAGCAGAATGAGTGAATCTAAACTCTTAAAGTGTCTATATACATACATACGAAGTCCATATTGAAATGTCTAAAAAGACTTATATTTAGGAACGGAGGGAGTATGGGCCTCCCAACAGCTGGGGGCTTTTAAGTTCAGCTGGAAACGTACCTATATAAGAGATTGCTCCTGAGATTGAGCCAAACATACACTCAGAAAAAGAAAAGAAAAAAAGCAAAAGAACAAGAGGAAAGAGAGACTGAGACAAACATACCAAAAAAATGTATGTTTTCAATCACAATCGTGTGCAGAGCAGTACCCGAAAGACACATCAAAAATTCCCCCAAAAAGAGTAAATCAGCAATATTGACTTTCAATGAAATCAGACAGCGACTCAGTCAGACTGCAGATTGGACACTATGCCTAGCGGATGTCCCCATTCGCTATGGTCTTGACCTTGCATACCCCAGCCGAAGTTGTGAACGGAACATCTTTGTAGCACGCCACAAGCTCACCGTTGCTGTGCAGATCAGCGGATAACTTCTCCCAGGTTTTGCTTTTGGCGTTAAGAGAAGCCTCAGGCTCACCAGAGAACCCGGCAAAGGTCACCTTCTCCCCGACAGCAGCGGATTCTGGAGGCTCAACCAACTCAACCTAAACTTTCAAATGTCAGTTTCCACCAACCAAACTGGCTGCTGCCACTGTACTTTCATGATGCTTTATCAAACAGAGAGCGCATGAGAGGCAAACGTTCCTTACCTTTGAGTGGTCCTCGCTTGATGCAGCCAAAACCATAGCATGTGACTTTATACCACGCATTGCCACCGGTTTAAGATTGCAGAGCACACACACTTTCCGGTTCTGCTCATTCGTACCAGAAATTGCAAAATTAGGGAGGCAAGACCACCATGGCATAGACCAATGTCGTGACTAGAATGATTCTCAGAAAGACAGACCTGCATTTCCTCAAGAGGGATGAATTTGACAAGGCCGCTAACCACTGTTCTTGGTGCCTCTTCTCCAACATCGATCTCTTCTACGTAAAGTGAATCGGCATCTGGATGCTTCTCTGCTTTTCTGATAAGCCCTACCCGAATATCCAGCTTGGCAACTGAGGCATCCTCTGCTGTCTTTGATTTCGAACCACCAGATTGTTTCTTCTTTGAACTTCCCTCTGGATACGAAAGCGAGACAAGGAAATTTGAGAATGAATTTCTCGAATTATGAAATTGGTTCAGCAGAAGATAACTCAAGAGCACTTCAAGCGTAAGAAAAATGCCGCACTATGCACCGGTGTTTTCAAGAGAACATACAAATTGCATAAAAGTGAGCCACAAAGAAAATCCTGTTTCTAGATTGCCACAGGAGAAAACTGTTCTCCCATGTAATTCACACACAAAAAAACATATAGTAAGAATTTCACAAGTACCAGATAATTTTGTCCCCTTGAGCTTATCAGCAACTTTCTTGGCCTCGACGTCAGATTGTGCCTTTGAGATCCTTTCAGCTTGGCTGCCAGCGAATTTGATCCTAAACGCCTCAACTTCTTCATCTTTCTGCATTATTTCAAGTTACGAGATATAAAAGCAGGGCCAACTAATAAATTTCTTTTAAAAAAATGCAAATACGCACCAGTTCCTTAAATAGAGGAACTGGCTTTCCTATTTTGTGGCCTGCTGATATAAAATCCCAGGGTCTTTTAGCCTTGGCAGTTTCTCCTTTATCATCACAGAATGACAGATCTTCATCTGGGGACATATTTAATTGTCGCAGCACCTTATAAAGAAACAAACATAAGAGTGAGTTCAGGCAAAGGGGGTCTATTAACAGAAACTCTTAAACATGAAAAAGAGGATTATACTTCTCTAGAAAAGGAAGGCATAAAAGGCTCCAGCAGACAGGCAAGGAGATAGACAACACCAACTGAAGTTTTCATTACGATGGCACAGGCTGCTGGATCTTCCTTATAAAGCCTCCAAAATTGGCTCTCCTGTATTCAACAATTAGCAAGTCAAAGATATAACAGTGCTATTTAGAAACACAAATGGAAACCAAGACAAAGAAATGTATTTACTTGCAAATATGCATTTCCATCACTAGAAATCGCCATTGCACTCTTAAGTCCTTGTTTCAATTTAACCTGTAGCAAAAGGAGTGAGCATTCTGTTTCAGATCCTAGTAGCTGGCACAATGAAACAACACAAAACTAGACAGGAAGCAGGAAATTGTGCCATTTCACATGGTTCAAGTAAATTAATGACCTTCTCCATTGCTTCAAGATATTGTTCAACCCATTTATTAGTTTTTTCTGCAAGCGCGTTGGTCAATGTATGTGACTCGGCATTAGGAGCATCAGGTATGATGGAGTCGTATCCAGCTCCTACCAGAAAAGAAGATCAAAAATCAACTTAACGGAAGTGCCACAGAAAGGGGATAACCGGATGAGGATATAGTATGGTAGTAAATCACAGATAATCAAGATAAATTGGAAGAGAAAATACAAAAATCAACTGATAATACTTCTAGACAGTTAGATGGCAGGTGCAAGATGACTAACCAGCTGGTTTTGCAACAAAGCTTAACACACGGTTGATGAAGTTTCCCAGGTTGTTCAGCAACTCGCTGTTCAATTTAGCTTGTAAATCAGCCCAAGTGAACAGTGTATCTGATACCTGAACACCCAAAACAGAAGTCAAATTAAAATATTGCAATGAATGTCATTATTAGATATTTTAAATCCATTAAACAAAATGTCTATACAAACCTCAGGGCGGTTCATAAGCAAGTAGTATCGCCATACTTCAGACGGAATATTAGTAACCTTCGCATCGTTGCCAAAGACACCAATACCATGACTCTTGGAAAATTTTCCTATAGATGTGAGGAATATTTAGCTATTATCAAGGGAATAAACATACATAATGTGCCATATTATATATGAATCTACTTCGGGGTAATTTTTGAATCAGGTCCATGCAAAACAGTGTCTCGATCATGCTGGACCATATCTTAGTCCATATATGCTGTTTAGCCAAACAAAAAGGATAAGAGATGCCATAACGGCATAACCCGATGTCTTCAAACCATTCATCCAATTTCATGATAATACTCTGGTGGCAGGAGAACAAGGGAGCGGTCGTGAAGCATGACCCGTAATGAAAACATGGTCCACTGCTTAATAATACCAAGCAACAATATAAGTACACAAACCTATACAGCTAGTCATTCTGGGACCGGAAAAGAAAGAGGCATGTTTAGGTTGAGGAAGGTGTCGATTACTTCTGCAGCATGAAGTGCATCACAATGCACCACAGCTCACAGTGCAAACATGGGCCAAGTACCGGGCAATATGCTCTGGAAAAAGAAATTGCGCTTCGGGAAGCCCAGGTCCAAGAGCCTCTGCAATTGCAGGGGAGTAAACGGAACATGTATTTCTATGGTGTAAACAAATGCAGCTGGATATGCTTGTGGTAGGGCTAGGGTTCCTACCAGCTCTACTCCGTAGG